ATTCAGAATTTTACGCAGAATCCAAATATGCAATCACATACAGGGTGTTCTATTTAAAATAGCGATGTTGCCACTGGTTTAGAGTAGGAGCGGCAACACCGCATAAACAAAATATTTTTAAAGTGTAGATTATGGTCGTTTATCCCGGTTGCCAAATTTTCAAAATGATCCGCTTTTTAGTTCTCCATTAACGTCTAATACGCCATCCACCGTGGGACACCCTGTAGAATAAACAATACAGTGCTTGACCCGAACTTCCATATTGAATTTCGTTTTTGACAGGTCAGTAGATTGCCTAATTCAGAACTGATTCTGAACTAAGTCCGAACAAACCTAATGATAATTTGATACATCTGTCATAACTGCAAACTTAGTGAAGATTATGGGAGGTTTCGGTGATCGGTGAAAGAATTGTTGACTGTGAAGGCCTATTATGATACTGATGAGTTTTTTAGTGACACATTCTAGTCAGAATGCAAGTACCTACCTACTCTTCGTTTCAGGTTTTTTGTCTTTTGTTTTCATGTATACACTGTGTCCGTAAAGTAGCGGATAAATTCATTATTTTGAAAATGGTGGAATTTTTGAAAAATCGCTCAGACACGTCGATTTTGTTTTTTTGTTTGAAATTTTTTGATATATTTTTATTATACAGGGTGTCTCAAAAATAGCTCCACTGCTTTCAACTTTGTTTTTTCAAATGGATCACCCTGTATATTATGACATTTATGGATTCTGCGGGAAATTTTTGACATATTTCATGTACAATGTCATATACCTATCTTCAACTGTTTCGGAAATATTGACAGTTGAAAATTGATTTTTTTGCAACTTTGACAGCCTGTAAAACCTGAACGGTTAATTTTAGAGGAAAACCCATGTTACATTCCTATCTTAGATTTTCATAATCTATCATCTGACACCAACTTTGAAGTTAATCTGTGATTAAAAATTCCGGTTAAATTTAATCTACTGGTAAATTTAAAGTTGGTATCAAATCATAGTTTATGAAAATCTAAGATAGGAATGTAAAATCGGTTTTCCTCTAAAATTAACCGTTCAGGTTTTACAGTCTGTGAAAGTTGCAAAAAAATCAATTTTCAACTGTCAATATTTCCGAAACAGTTGAAGATACGTATATGACATTGTACACGAAATATGTCAACAATTTCCCGCAGAATCCATAAATGTCATAATATACAGGGTGATCCATTTGAAAAAACAAAGTTAATAGCAGTGGAGCTATTTTTGAGTATAATGAAAAATATATCAAAAAATTTCAAACAAAAAAACAAAATTGACGTGTCTGAGCGATTTTTCAAAAATTCTACCGTTTTCAAAATAATGAATTTATCCGTTACTTTACGGACACACTGTATATGTATGTACAGGGTATTTGATTATATTTGGCACCATACCTACAGCCTTTACTATTTAAGATAGAAAAAAAATTTAAATACAAAACTTGACAGTTTTTTTCTCTATTTTCTGATAACGTTATCAAAAAAAAACAAAATCGCATCGGAAAATGGAGAAACGTAAGCAACTTTGACTTTTTTTAATGGACCACCCTGTATATTATGCGATAAAATTAAAGATCTATTCTTTCTGATTCCAAATATATATATATTGATAATATTTGCGTGAGCAATTTTTGACATATCTCAGGTTAAATTATAAAGAATTTGCAGAGAAGTTCCATAAGGATCTCTATCTTTATAAAATTTCTTTGCAATTTAGTTATAATTTAGGCTGAGATATGTCAAAAATGACTTATGCAAATGTGATCAACATATATATATTTGTAATCAGGAAGAAAAGGTCTTTCATTTTATCGCAAAATATACAGGGTGTTCCATTTAAAAAAGTCGAAGTTGTCTACGTTTCTCCATTTTCCGATGCGATTTTGTTTTTTTTTTGATAACGTTAAAAGAAAATATAGAAAAAAAACTGTCAAGTTTTGTATTTACAATTTTTTTTTATCCTAAATAGTATAGGCTGTAGGTATGGTGCCAAATATAATCAAATACCCTGTACCAACAACTTGGAAATTGTATATATTTAATATTTAACATCTAAACAATTTATGTCTTGTATTGTGTTATTGTTGACTATTTTATTCTCATTTGTTTTTTGTATTATGACTATCACCAAAGAATTTTAACTATTTTAGGTATTTTATGAATTGTGAACAGAGTTGGGACCTTTGTTGTAGTTCACTAGAGGGTTGTAAGGCCTCCAAGGTCCGTATCTCTGGGCGTGACGTTCAGGAATAATTCCCTGAAGATCACTAGTTACCTTTAATCAAGATAACGAGTACAAAGCTCTTGAGACGGACTTTGTGGATAATTATCACAAATGACTAATTTGCGTAATTAAATAGGTACCCAACTAATATTGTTCAATACTGGTTTTATTAATCAAATTGGTTCGTATTTATATTCTACATTTCAACTTGAACCTTATTATATTTATCATAACTAATAACAATGAATAATTGTGTGTTGACCTTGTTTAGGCAGGTATCTAAAATATTGGCGCTACACTGTATCATTACGGAAATTAAGGTGACTGACGCCGTGAATGATGAATCGTGGTTTTTTAGTAAATTTGGGCAAGGTTTGTGATACTTTGATTACCTTGCCAAATTTATAACAAATTGTGGATTTTATAATATGTAGAAATTTCAGACTTAATTAAATTTTATGTTGAAATTTCGAAATGTGTAATTCAACTTTTATGTTGATTAAACAAATTGTATTTTAATTATTTTATAAATTGTATACACTAACCCTAGTACAAGTTAAGCATTTGACATTTAATTGTAATATTTACCTTCCACTATTTTTGCTATTGCTTTGTCTATAAAAATCCTTGCCATCAAACTTTCAAGTAGACGTAACTGCGCATGCGTATACAGAATAATCATCCAGAAAATACCACAATATTACCAAAAAATACCAATATTACCAAAGAAAATACCATATAATACCAAATAATACCAAATATTATTGAAAATACCATGATAGTGTACACCAAAATACCGTCAGCGGTTTGCCCCTCGCTAAGGTACCATTAAAAAACACTTATTTTGCGGACTTAATACAAAAATAACAACGTTATATTAATACACTGAATCCCAGCAAGGAAGCCAAGCCATTTTGAATATAACTCTAACTTTATATTATGATATGATGATGAAATTATCTGAACAGTGCAGATGGTTTTTAGTCGGCACTGTCTGGACAGTGCTGATAGATTTTAGTCGGCACTGTCTGGTCAGTGCAGATAGTTTTCAGTCACCACTGTCTGGACATTGCAGTAGTCACTCCCTTCATTTATCCCCTGTGAAGTTCTCTAAAACCTTTACCTAGTGGTGCCGCCAGAGGAGACTAGATGAGACTTAAGGTTGGTCTCGTCTCGTCTCCACATCTCGAGACGAGACCGTGACTTAGTCTCGGTCTCGAGTAGCAAAGTCTCGTCTCGTCTCAAGTGGTCTCGAGTTATACAGGGTGTCCGAAAAAAAGCCTGAAAACTCTTCACGACGCAGTGGAGGACCCTTCAAGAAACCCCAGAAAAATAATTTAAAAAATCTAGTGGCACTCTTACGAAAGTTACATATTTGCATTTTAGTATTCACTAAAATTGGCAACACTGAAAATATCCCGTTGACAATATGTCAGAGAATTAAATTAAATACTTATGTAATTACCTGTAGAATTCGAAGGTGAATTTTCATATCTACTTCTTCATATTATCAAGAATAATGCTGGAGAAGGATTTTTTTAATTATTTTTCCAGGGTTTCTCAAAGAGTCCCCTACTACGTGGAAAGGTATTACGCTATTTTTTGACATCCTGTATTTATGGTTTTTATTTTTAAATTATAACGGAATTCCAAACTGCCACAGTGAAAAAGCAGTTATTTAAAGAGTGAAAAATCACAGTAAAGAGTAACCGTGATATTTGAAAAAAAATGAACCTCAAATAATAAAAAAAAATGTCGAACAAAACATTTTTTGAAATTAGAATCACCCTGTATTTTTTTTGTTAATTAATTGGATGCTTTCTATATATGTATTTTATCTCCAGATCTAACTTCCAGTTTAGCCGAAAGTGCTTATGCTTAAAACATTTTTTTCAAATTGATCTCATTATTGGCTAAACTGAAAGTGGAATCTGAAAATTAAGTAGGCAGTAGAAATCATCCCGTTAACTGTTAGTATTGAAATTTATTGATTCCATTTTCAAATAGCCCAGAATAGTCCAATAATAAAGCTATGAAAAAAAAAATTTAATTGTAATCTCGAGACTCGAGACTACACGAGACTCTCGCAGAGTGTGGTCTCGTCTCGTCGAGATTTCACGAAACGAGGCCAGTTTGGAGTCTTGCGGCACCACTACCTTTTCCAAGGTGTCTTCTAACTGCTTCTCTTCCAATAAAGCACCTAATCTGAACTGAAATTTTCCAAATTAACTGAGGTACTGCTATCACATTCATTTTTCTTGCTTTTGAAGTCTTGGTTCTTCTCTAAACTAGTCATTTCTTTATGGGTGATCTGGGCCCATAACCTATTATGTTTAGTATGGTATTGGGGCTCGGGAAGATTCGATATAATGTATTCCAAGGAGTTACAACATTTATTTTGAGAGAACCTTTTACCTATGTGACACACCTGACAATCTACATATATAAACAACAACTATTGATACTATTGATAATAATTCTATAGAAACTAGGAACATAACATTGTACAAGACTAAGACTACACAGTACACATTCAAGGCTATCAGCTACTAGTTAAGGAAATATTCTTAACAGCTTATTACTTTTTTCACAATAGACCAGCTTCTATAATTAGTTTTTTCAAAGTTAAAATTAAAAATCGGCCAAGGAATCGGTATCAGATGCAGTATTTTGTTCTATCTAAAAACTTTGCGGTGCCAACTAATTCCATAAACAGTGTATATGCAGGCTCAATTATATACTATTTTTTGCAGGTATTGTCGATGTATTATCTTTAGAACTTATTCAATATCATAATAAAGACATAACCAAGGTACAATTATCAGAAAAAGAATATCCAATGCTGTTTGATGAAGCCCAAAAGGCCAGACTTAAAGTTATTGAGCAGTTGACTGATTATAATGATGAATTAGCTAATACAGTTATCAATTCTGAGTCTTTTGATAACATTTCTAGTCTGGACATTATTAAGGCGCTTCAGAAAGTAACTTTGGATAAGGTAAATGATGTGATATTTATTAGACCTTTAATATTAATTTTTCTATTATATCAGGTTGCAATTCCTGTTACCCTGGGTAGTTCTTACAAAAACATTGGTGTGCAATCTCTGATGGACTCAATAATCTTGTATTTACCCTCGCCAACTTCAACAAAAAGCACATTTGAAGAGCATTTTGGAGCCAGAGCTTTTAAAGTAACGCATGACAAGCAAAAAGGACCTCTAGTTTTTGCAAGAATTTACAATGGAACGATTAAAAAGGGCCAAAAAGTTTTTAATGCACAAAAAAATGAGTCAGAGCAAATAGGAAAGGTTTATGTAGCTTATGCTGATGATTTCAAAGAAATGGACTCTCTGAGCACTGGTAACATCGCCGTATTGTCGGGGCTAAAAAAAGCTACTTCTGGAGACTTGTTAACCACCAAGAAAAATATTTCTCCATCTGAATTTGGTATAAATGTCAAAATTCCCGAGCCAGTATTTTTTTGCTCCATTGAGCCACCTTCGATGGCTTCTCAAAATGCGTTGGATCAAGCTCTAAATGAACTACAAAGGGAAGATCCTAGCTTAAGGGTCAAATATGACGGAGAAACTGGTCAAACTGTTTTGGGCGGCATGGGGGAGCTTCATTTAGAAATCATACAAAATCGTATTTTAAAAGAATATAAAATTCCAGCCGATTTAGGGCCCTTACAAATAGCTTACAGAGAAATGCCTCTACAACAACTAACTGATACATTATCGATAGAAACTAGAATAGGCAACCACAAAAACTCTGTGTTAATTAAACTTTCCCTAACTCCTTCCAAATCTGATTTTTTTCAATTGAAATTTGACAAGACCTCTGAAAGCGCCAGTAACATTGCTGGCATATTTCCAAAACATTTGCAAGCTATTAAAAGAGGCATTGAAGTGGGACTTGCACAAGGACCAAAAATAAGCTCACAAATTATAAATGTAGATGTTATGTTGCATTGGTTTGAAGTAGGCCGAGGGACTTCTGAAACTATTATTGCCTCAACTGTTACCCAATTGGTTCAGAAGGTAATTATTGTTGACTCAACAAAATCAATAGAATAATTTTTTTTTTTAGCTGATAAAAGAATCTGGCACATGTATACTAGAACCTGTTATGCTTTTAGAAATTGTGACTCCTTCAGAGTATCTTTCTATTGTTTTATCAGACCTTTCTCGAAGGAGAGCTGCAGTTAATAATGTGTCGATAAGAGGAAGTTCTAAGGTGATTTTATTGAATTTTTTTTTTAAACAAATGTTAATAATTATCTTGTAGATTGTTACGGCAAATACACCACTGGCAGAATTATTAGGATATTCAACGGATTTAAGGACTATTACGTCGGGGACTGCCACATTTACTACAGAATTTTTCGAATATCAGCAAATGACTTCTCTGGAGGAAGAAAATGCTATTAGGAATGTTAGAGGATTTTAAATTTTATGACTGTATAAATCGAGAATAGTACCTTAGTTTGGGTTTTCATTTTTTATTTTAATTCCTTGAACGCTCTGCCTGAACTGTTTTTACATGGATCAAGATCAAACTGATTTTTTCATTTCGTGGAATACCAAAACATCGAACTGCTAGGTCAGTTAAGTTAGCTCCCCCCCACTAAAAATTTTTAGATGAAAAGTTATCTATAATTTTGCTCCTACTTTGCTCCATAAATTTTAAATTTTGCTCTATTACGCTTTAGAGACTATATCGATTTTAAGATGGGGGGGGGGGGGGGGGCTAGGTTGATGGTAGCCCCCCTCACCACTTTCTTTCCATATTTGACTGTGAATTCTTATACTACTAATTTTGCTTCATTTTGCTCCTTTATTGAAAAATTTTGCTCCACAACCGTTCCTTAGTTACAGAGGTTTGGAAAATAATAATCAGTCCCCCCCCACTTTTTTTCCCTATCTAACAATGGATTCTTATACTACTAATTTTGCTCCGTTATTGAAAAATTTTGCTCCACAGCCGTTCCGTAGTTACAGAGGTTTGAAAAATGTTAATCAGCCCCCCCCCCCCCCACCACTTTTTTCCCTATCTAACAATGGATTTTTATATGTACTAATAATTTTGCTCCATTTTGCCCCGTTATTGAAAAATTTTGCTCCACAGCCGTTCCGTAGTTACAGAGGTTTGTAAAATATTATTCAGCCCCTCCACCACTTTTTCTCTGTATCTGACAATGGATTCTTATACTAATAACTTTGCTCCATTTTGCTCTGTTATTGACGGATGGGGTAGGTCAGACCGGCCCTGGATTTCTCAAGCCTACCAGCCCTTTGAGCCGTAAAAAGCAGGAAAATTGTATGCCGCCCAAAAATTGCGGATTTTTTCGGGTGCCACGCCCAAAAACGTTTATTTTATAAACTTTCATGCTCACGCTAGCAAACAAGCAATGACGTAACAGGACTGTCATAACGACAATTTGTTTGAAGAAAGGACAGGTGGCAACCCTAGTGGAAGGCGCAACTTTTTCTGAGAGCCACGCTCAAAAATACGCGACACAGAAGTGATTCATTCCTAGTATGCGTATTCTTAGCGTCAACGACCAAGTTCCCAAAAGCATAAATTATTCATAATTTGCAAATAATTTTTATTTGTATTGTAACACAATTACATACTTCATAGTTTACATAAATACAGTATCCGCCAAAATAAATAGTATCGAACATACAAATTATATCATTTGTTAATTTTTATCATGCGTATATGTTCAAAAAATGCATCATAGCGACGCAAAAAAGCTTCATAACGATTCTGCAAATCAGTGAAAATTTTATTAAGAGTGGTTGCTGAAACTTTTCTGAGACTTGTTTCAAACTTAAGCCTATATTCCTTCCAAATCCGTATGACCGGAAATAGTACTCTGTGCTCTACTAAGAAAACTGTTTCTTCAGTTGAAAGATACATAATGACGAACATTTTATCCTTAACTTAATATCAACCTCATAACTGAAGCGAAATATGATGTTGCAATCATCATATTTCGCGTGCGCAATTACTCAGAGCTCTTTATTTCGGTACTGTTTATTTTGGCGGATATCGTATTATAACAAGTTAATTGTAGTGGTTGTATGCACTATGTGCAAAGCCAACCAAACCCAAAAAAAAAAATATATAAATAATAATAATAAACTATATCGATATATTTCAATCGATATTTTACAATCGATATATCGAAAAAAATATCGATATACCTGATAATCTTTTCGATATATCGGAACTATAATAGTTCATTGGTTGACAAAGACAATCTGACAGTTGACAGAGGCGGCTAAAATGAAACAAAACGTCAGTTAGGGCGTGTGCGACCGTAGCAATTAAATGAGGAAATAGTTATTTTCCTAACAAGTGCGCAAAAGACACCTTGCGCACGTATTAGGAACAAAATTTTTCTTACGAGCTTCATATGAGGTAGGTAACAACAAAAACGATAATTTGTTCAATTATTTTCAATTAACTTGAACCGAACCTATTCATTCATCAAAAAATTACATAACAAAAAAACAGAAAATTGAAATTCTCGTCAGAGCTGTTCATCTTAAGGCGTTTAAAAATTTGATGCGAAATCATCCCTCGTAAGAAAAAAATATTGAAAATTCCATATTTTCTTATTTTTTCTTCAGACACCTAGATGGTGTTTCACGTTTAAATTTGAAAACATGCTTGTTCAAGGGATGCTTTATCATCCCTCAAAAGGAAAATTCCTTGCCAGCCGTCAAACTTACGAAAATCATCCCTTGGAAGAAAAAATATTGAAAATGTCATATTTTCTTATTTTTTCTTCAGACACCTAGATGGTTTTTCACGTTCAAATTTGAAAACATGCTTGTTCAAGGAATGCTTTATCATCCCTCAAAAGGAAAATTCCTCGCCAGCCGTCAAACTTCGAAAATCATCTCTCGGAAGAAAAAATATTGAAAATTTCATATTTTCTTATTTTTTCTTCAAACACCTAGATGGTGTTTCACGTTCAAATTAAAAAACATGCTTGTTCAAGGGATGCTTTATCCTCCTTCAAAAGAAAAATTCCTTGCCAGCCGTCAAACTTACAAAAATCATCCCTCGTAAGAAAAAATATTGAAAATTTCATAATTTCTTATTTTTTCTTCAGACACCTAGATGGTGTTTCACGTTCAAATTTGAAAATATGCTTGTTCAAGGGATGCTTTATCATCCTTCAAAAGAAAAATTCCTTGCCAGCCGTCAAACTTACGAAAATCATCCCTCGTAAGAAAAAATATTGAAAATTTCATAATTTCTTATTTTTTCTTCAGACACCTAGATGGTGTTTCACGTTCAAATTTGGAAAAATGCTTGTTCAAGGAATGCTTTATCATCCCTCAAAAGGAAAATTCCTTGCCTGCCGTCAAACTTACAAAAATCATTGAAAATTTCATAATTTCTTATTTTTTCTTCAGACACCTAGATGGTGTTTCACGTTCAAAATTGAAAACATGCTTGTTCAAGGGATGTTTTATCATCCCTCAAAAGGAAAATTCCTTGCCAGCCGTCAAACTTACGAAAATCATCTCTCGGAAGAAAAAATATTGAAAATTTCATATTTTCTTATTTTTTCTTCAGACACCTAGATGGTGTTTCACGTTCAAATTTGAAAACATGCTTGTTCAAGGAATGCTTTATCATCCCTAAAAAAGGAAAATTCCTTGCCTGCCGTCAAACTTACGAAAATCATCCCTCGGAAGAAAAAATATTGAAAATTTCATATTTTCTTATTTTCTCTTCAGACACCTGGATGGTGTTTCACGTTCAAATTTGAAAACATGCTTGTTCAAGGGATGCTTTATCATCCCTCAAAAGGAAAATTCCTTGCCCGCCGTCAAACTTACGAAAATCATCCCTCGGAAGAAAAAATATTGAAAATTTCATATTTTCTTATTTTTTCTTCAGACACCTAGATGGTGTTTCACGTTCCAATTTGAAAACATGCTTGTTCAAGGGATGCTTTATCATCCCTTAAAAGGAAAATTCCTCGCCAGCCGTCAAACTTACGAAAATCATCCCTCGGAAGAAAAAATATTGAAAATTTCATATTTTCTTATTTTTTCTTCAGACACCTAGATGGTGTTTCACGTTCAAATTAAAAAACATGCTTGTTCAAGGGATGCTTTATCATCCTTTAAAAGAAAAATTCCTTGCCAGCCGTCAAACTTACGAAAATCATCCCTCGGAAGAAAAAATATTGAAAATTTCATATTTTCTTATTTTTTCTTCAGACACCTAGATGGTGTTTCACGTTCAAATTTGAAAAAATGCTTGTTCAAGGAATGCTTTATCATCCCTCAACAGGAAAATTCCTTGCCTGCCGTCAAACTTACGAAAATCATCCCTCGGAAGAAAAAATATTGAAAATTTCATATTTTCTTATTTTTTCTTCAGACACCTAGATGATGTTTCACGTTCAAATTTGAAAACATGTTTGTTCAAGGGATGTTTTATCATCCCTCAAAAGGAAAATTCCTTGCCAGCCGTCAAACTTACGATAATCATCTCTTGGAAGAAAAAAATATTGAAAATTTCATATTTTCTTATTTTTTCTTCAGACACCTAGATGGTGTTTCACGTTCAAATTTGAAAACATGCTTGCTCAAGGGATGCTTTATCATCCCTCAAAAGGAAAATTCCTTGCCAGCCGTCAAACTTACGAAAATCATCTCTCGGAAGAAAAAATATTGAAAATTTCATATTTTCTTATTTTTTCTTCAGACACCTAGATGGTGTTTCACGTTCAAATTTGAAAACATGCTTGTTCAAGAGATGCTTTATCATCACTCAGAAGGAAAATTCCTTGCCAGCCGTCAGACTCACGAAAATAATCTCTCGGAAGAAAAAATATTGAAAATTTAATATTTTCTCATTTTTTCTTCAGGCACCTAGATGGTGTTTCACGTTCAAATTTGAAAACATGCTTGTTCAAGGGATGCTTTATCATCCCTCAAAAGGAAAATTCCTTGCCAGCCGTCAAACTTACGAAAATCATCTCTCGGAAGAAAAAATATTGAAAATTTCATATTTTCTCATTTTTTCTTCAGACACCTAGATGGCGTTTCACGTTCAAATTTGAAAACATGCTTGTTCAAGGAATGCTTTATCATCTTTCAAAAGGAAAATTCCTTGCCAGCCGTGAAACTTACGAAAATCATCTCTCGGAAGAAAAAATATTGAAAATTTCATATTTTCTCATTTTTTCTTCAGACACCTAGATGGCGTTTCACGTTCAAATTTGAAAACATGCTTGTTCAAGGGATGCTTTATCATCCCTCAAAAGGAAAATCCCCTGCCAGCCGTCAAACTTACGAAAATCATCCCTCGTAAGAAAAAATATTCAAATTTCATATTTTCTCATTTTTTCTTCAGACACCTAGATAGCGTTTCACGTTCAAATTTGAAAACATGCTTGTTCAAGGGAAGCTTTATCATCCCTCAAAAGGAAAATCCCTTGCCAGCCGTCAAACTTACGAAAATCATCCCTCATAAGAAAAAATATTCAAATTTCATATTTTCTTATTTTGTCTTCAGACACCTAGATGGCGTTTCACGTTCAAATTTGAAAACATGTTTGTTCAAGGGATGCTTTATCATCCCTCAAAAGGAAAATTCCTTGCCAGCCGTGAAACTTACGAAAATCATCTCTCGGGAGAAAAAATATTGAAAATTTCATATTTTCTCATTTTTTCTTCAGGCACCTAGATGGTGTTTCACGTTCAAATTTGAAAACATGCTTGTTCAAGGGATGTTTTATCATCCCTCAAAAGGAAAATTCCTTGCCAGCCGTCAAACTTACGAAAATCATCTCTCGGAAGAAAAAATATTGAAAATTTCATATTTTCTTATTTTTTCTTCAGACACCTAGATGGTGTTTCACGTTCAAATTTGAGAATATGCTTGTTCAAGGGATGCTTTATCATCCCTCAAAAGGAAAATTCCTCGCCAGCCGTCAAACTTCGAAAATCATCTCTCGGAAGAAAAAATATTGAAAATTTCATATTTTCTTATTTTTTCTTCAAACACCTAGATGGTGTTTCACGTTCAAATTAAAAAACATGCTTGTTGAAGGGATGCTTTATCCTCCTTCAAAAGAAAAATTCCTTGCCAGCCGTCAAACTTCGAAAATCATCTCTCGGAAGAAAAAATATTGAAAATTTCATATTTTCTTATTTTTTCTTCAAACACCTAGATGGTGTTTCACGTTCAAATTAAAAAACATGCTTGTTCAAGGGATGCTTTATCCTCCTTCAAAAGAAAAATTCCTTGCCAGCCGTCAAACTTACAAAAATCATCCCTCGTAAGAAAAAATACTGAAAATTTCATAATTTCTTATTTTTTCTTCAGACACCTAGATGATGTTTCACGTTCAAAATTGAAAACATGCTTGTTCAAGGGATGTTTTATCATCCCTCAAAAGGAAAATCCCTTGCCAGCCGTCAAACTTACGAAAATCATCCCTCATAAGAAAAAATATTCAAATTTCATATTTTCTTATTTTGTCTTCAGACACCTAGATGGCATTTCACGTTCAAATTTGTAAACATGCTTGTTCAAGGGACGCTTTATCATCCCTTAAAAGGAAAATTCCTTGCCAGCCGTTAAACTTACGAAAATCATCCCTCGGAAGAAATAATATTGAAAATTTCATATTTTCTTATTTTTTCTTCAGACACCTAGATGGTGTTTTACGTTCAAATTTGAGAACATGCTTGTTCAAGGGATGCTGTATCATCCCTCAAAAGGAAAATTCCTTGCTAGCCGTCAAATTTACGAAAATCATCTCTCGGAAGAAAAAATATTGAAAATTTCATATTTTCTTATTTTTTCTTCAGACACCTAGATGGTGTTTCACGTTCAAATTTGAGAACATGCTTGTTCAAGGGATGCTGTATCATCTCTTAAAAGGAAAATTCCTTGCCAGCCGTCAAACTTACGAAAATCATCCCTCGTAAGAAAAAATATTGAAAATTTCATATTTTCTAGCAGCAGTGCTAGTGTTAAACCCCATTTTATTAGCCATAAAATTGCGCGACTTTGCCCATTGAGAAATTTGCCCTAATTTAACCAACCTCGTATCTTTGATAATAACCAAGATACCTCTGGTTAGAAAAATAGACACACTGTATATGTTTGTATCACCCTGTATAATATGTTCTAAGTGTGTTTTCACATGCGCCATTCTTGTAGTGTTTGTTCCGAAAAGAAATAATGACGTCAATAGCTATATCTTACATAAAATTGTATAGATCATGATAAAATCGTAGTCGGCTGCGATATTCAAAAAATCTCAAAAACGTCTCGAGGTACTAAGGTACTCTTCTGAACTGCATACCAAAAATCTACTTAACCCTCCCTCCAGCAGAATGGAGTGAACCCAAACTTTCGCACAAAAATCGCCAACTTATCTTTCACCCTGTATCTTTTAGCAGGTGGCCGGAAATCTGTTAAGAACTGGAAATTAAATAGGAATTAGAGCATCCTTTCACTCCTGAAAATTTGAATAAAATCGGCCTTCTAGATTTTGAGTTATGGTCTTACAAAAAGTGACCAAAAATTGGGGTGTTCGAGTTCGATTGACGCGTAGTTTAGATAACTTTTCATCTAAAAATTTTTAGTGGGGGGCTAACTTAACTGACCTCGAACTGCTTATCTGTAGAAAGTATAGTTAAGGATTAATATGATAAACACATCTAAGTATACATTTTTTATTTATTAATAATAATACAAATTAAGGTCATCAAGGATTAAGGCGTGGTTTATTAACTAATTAGCGAATAATTTTTATTGATTTCTAGGATTCGTTTAATATGTATTTAAAATTTTCTTAATACTGTGATGATATAATGATACAATAGAAGTGTTACGTATTCAACCAAAAAAAAAAGATAAGATAACTGAACCTTAATCGTCAGTGAAAAAAAAAAAGACACCTTATGCTTATGCCTGATTTATAAACCTCTTGTTTAAGACTAACCTAAGTTTATTAAGTCTAACCTTACATACTACATACATATAGGTACCACAGTAGGTACTACCTACATTGATTCTTATTTATATATTTTATTGTTTTAAACACATTTTTGTTTGGACGCGCCAAAGAAGATAACAATACAAAATAAATACTTTAATACTTAATTTTAACGTTTTATCTTACCACAGACACCATCACAAAACTTAGACAATCCTTGTGAGTGCAAAATTGTGAAACTATTGGCTATTTATCACATTCTAATGCTAAATTTAATCAAAAAGGCCCAATTGTGCGCTCACAAGTAAATACCTAAATCCTAAAAAATCTCGAGTAAAATCACATGGAATTATAGCTATCACAACACGCTAGGGCATTAATTAAAAATTGTTGAGGGAAATCTTTCATTTCTGATTTCTATATTACTGGGTAACTTTATTTATGGCTAGGAGGTATTGAAGGGCAAATTATGCCAGGATTTTTACTCCATAAGTAAGAGCGGACCATTTTAAAAAATCTACCACACCACAAAGCATATAAAACCTGTTTATAGTTGCGTATTATTCTTTTAAAAAATTAAAAACTTTCACTCAAAACTTATAAAATTTATTCGGAAGTGGATACCTATAATTTTTTTTTCTTCAATTCTATACCTGCAATCGATTGACAACTTTGTCGCAGCGTAATACTAATTATATTTTTAAAAAATGAGCACAATTTTCACTCTAAGTGATAGACAACAAAACAAAATCTTCTAAAAACCATTCTAAAACGAACAAATATCCAAACTCTGACCATGCCAGAATCAGTACAAATTCATAGTATCAGTTATAACAAAACCAGTTGGTGCTACGATTACCACTTGTGTTTTTTGTGGATACTTTTGGTTTAAATATCTAAACTATCAACATTCAACATATTGGTTGGTTTTAATTATTAATTATTGAAAATCAAATCAAAGCAGCAATCTGATTGCTTTTAATTCCTGATAATTATTTAGCCTAACAAATCTAAGGTCTTAACAAATAAATGATGACTAACTTTCATTCATAAAAGCTTTAGCAATAGCAGCGATACTCTCGTAGCTGCCAGTTATCATACCGACAACGCCGATTAAAATGATGAATCCGTTTTTGATGATATGGAAGCTGGTCAGTTTTCCGAATGTCATGGTGCTGACTGTGTCCAGGATGGGTGGGAAGATGAGGGCTAAGGCTGCGCTGCTTACTGCCCCGACCAGTGAGATGAAGAGGCCTAGGAATGGGATTGCTTCTGCAAGAATAACTAGAAAAAAAGAAAAGTGACTCGATTAGATCAGCTATTATTTTGTAAAACCAGAAATTGTCAATGGATATTAATTTACTAAATCCCGAACAAACCTATCTATAATAATTGACTGAAAATTAGTTGAATAGTCCGCTAGTATTTTTAAATTGTCAATTTTGTGTTATTTTCAATTATTATTACCATAAACATGCGTCCAGTTAATCTCCGTCCGATAAAAGATGGAGGGTCGTTTTCCGTTTTGCAGTGAAATGTTTACTCCTGTCTTTTAGAATAAGTCTAAGGCGTGTTCTCACGATTCGATTTTAGTTGATCAACTTTAGTGGATGAACTAAAATCAGTCGTTTTTAGTCCAGGAACTGAGGAAAAAAATATCGGGATAGGCCAGGCACTAGGCAGCATAAAAAACCCGTTTTTGGGTACGCAACTGGATTAAAATAAGGCATCAGTATTCAGTATGGAGTTTCAGCAACTTTTTCTTTATTGTTTTGGAAGATAAAGAGGGATATAGGTAGAATCATTTGAAGAGGATGTCTGAAGGAAAGTTTGAAGAAGTAGGACTATTAAAAATTGGACTCAAAATCCAAAAACGTCGTACTTTCTGAACACTTTGAACTAATTTTAATTTAATTTTTCACTTCATAACAAGACTCTTGAGTGAACACGATCAACTGAAATCGAAGGAAAATAGCTGTGAGAACATAATACGTATGCTTCAATTTTAATCGGTCAACTCTAGTTGATTCTACAAAAGATTGATCCATTCAAACTATCGCTCAAGTTATAAATCATAAATAGTTTTCAGACGAAATAAATCGCATTCAAAACGCGTGAACATGTGTTAATCGAGTAATGACCTGAATGACTATGCCAATTTTGGTAAATACTGCTACAATGATTTTATAAATAGAACTGAGAATAGGTTTGAAGAAAAATAGTCTTGAAAATCCCAAAAATTCTTTATTTATGTACTACCGGTTTCGAAGCTTCAACGCTTCATCTTCAGGTATAAAAAGACTAAAATTGAAAAAATAATACCACAATGAGCACCAGTTGCATTATTTTCGTTGAATCAATCAACCTCTTAACTTGGTTATATTAGTCTTAATATCTAAAAACTGTAACTTACATATTTATTAATAATGAGAGTTGTCAAAATCAGGTCGATTCGGAGGAACAATACCTGGGCATTAGGTAGTACATAAATAAAGAATTTTTGGGATTTTCAAGACTATTTTTCTTCAAACCTATCATCTGCTCAAAAAATGGACCACATACAATCCTTAGAACTGAGAATAATATAAATGTTGATCCTAAATCATTCTGGAGGTTTATTCGTATGAAAAGAGCAAACAATAATATACCTCTTTCTTTAAAATATGAAGATCGATCTAGTAATGATGGTCAGAGTAATGCTTCATTATTTTCAAAATATTTCTCATCTTTGTATACAGAGTCCAACCACGAAGTTCACTTCAACTTATTGGAAAATAGTTCTATCACCAGGTAATTACAGTATTGGGATTAGCGATATTTTTCGAGAATTTTCATCAATTGATGTTAATAAAGGTGCTGGGCCAGATGGTATAGCCCCTCTGTTTATAAAAAATTGCGCATTTGCATTGTCAAGACCTTTATGGCTTTTATATAACAAATCTTTAGAGTCAGGAGTATTTCCAGATGTATGGAAGATCTCATTTGTAAGACCAATTTTAAAAAATAATGGTTCCAGAAACGATGTTGAAAACTATAGACCAGTTACCACAATGTCTCATTTTCCTAAGGTTTTTGAATGTATCGTTAGTCAGTATTTGTGTTCATGTTTCAAAGGAATATATAGTATTTGTAGTACCCATTTAGAATAACCTCATCCTTATTTATCAATCAAGAATCGGATGAAACAAAAAATTACCAACAAAAACGAATGTCGATTGCTAATACGTCAATTTCATGTACAAATAGGAAATTCCTAACCTACTTTTATTTGTGTGTCAAGAAGCGACATACGTTTTGTCACTAAAACGACAGGTAATTCTAAATGGGTATTAAAAATTCTATATCTTATAAGCAACATGGTTTTATGAAAGGAAGATCAATAACAACAAATCTGCTTATTTATCAACATACTATTTCTAGTGCTCTTGAAGAGAGATATGTAGGTAGTCGATACAATTTATACAGATTTCGAAAAGGCTTTTGACAGAGTTGATCTCAATATATTATTGATAAACCTGTCATATTATGGTGTTAATGGTGTATTCTTGTTATGGTTGAAGTCTTATTTAATAGGTTGAAGGCAAAGAGTTAAAGTGAAATCTTTTCTATCTGACGAGTATAGTGTCCCCCAAGGTGGTCATCTTGGTCCGTTACTCTTCAAAATATTTATAAATGACAGTAGACTGTTTCCAACATTGTAAGGTATTGTTGTATGCAGATGATTTAAAAATATAATAAAGTAATTGAAGATAATAATACAAAATTATTAATTCAAAAAGATCTTATGCGTTTTGAGAATTGGTGCAAAAATAATAGTAAAAATCTCAACATAAATAAATGTAAATATATTCAATTCAGTAAGAAAAACACACCATGTATTAATTCATATTACTTCCATGATACTTTGATTGAAAATGTAAAATGATAAAAGACTTAGGAGTCATATTTGATAGTAGGTTAACATTTGTTGATCACATTGACTACATATGAAATAGGCCGTTTTTTTCCAGGTATTTTGGCGCCAAAAAAATGGCTGTGTAAGCAATTCAATCCTTTACCTGTATTTTGGTGCCAAACACCTGCCAAAAACTTGGCTTTACTTTAGTTTCATAAGCAGAATGGCGCGTTCCTACTCCTTATATGTCCGTAGGACAGTGCTTTACCTGCTCTAAGAAAATGAGAATAAAAATCTACTAATGAAATCGGATTTTAAAAAAATATGGTAAAGTTTTCACTGGACTTGGCAAGTTAAAAGATTTTGAATATTCTATCGAATTAAAAAAAAGAAAATGTTGAACCAGTGACAGTACAAACACCCAGATGTGTACCAATGCCTTTATTGGAGACTGTATGGTTAGAGCTTAATGATATAGTAAAAAAAGGTGTTATTAAAGAAATCAACGAAGCTACAGAATGGTGTTCTCCGATGACAATTAATAGTTGAAAAAATCAATAGAGTAAGAATTTGCACTGATTTTATTGAATTAAATAAGTTTGTTGTCAGAGAAAGATTTGTTTTGCCAACTGTAGAAGAAACGTCAGCACAGTTGCAAGATGCTGAATTTTTTTTCAAAATTAGATTGCAATAAAGGATTTTGGCAGTTAATGCACAGCCGAAAATATACCTACTATATTCGGCAGATTTGTTTATAAAAGATTACCTTTCAGCATTTCCAGTGGTCCAGAAATTTTTCAGAAAACTTTAAAGAATATATTTATGCAACAAGGCTTGAACGATGCGTGCTTGTTCATGCAGATGATATTTTGGTTAAAGGGCGTACCATTTCTGAACATAATAAAAGTTTACAGAAAATTATGACAGTTTTACAAAGATAAGCCAATTGGCCAGTTAACGACTAGATTACAACGTTTTCGTATGCGTCTTATGAAATATGATTATGATGTAGAGTATGTTCCTGGAAAAGAGTTTTATTGTCCAGATGCATTATCAAAAAGTCCTTTAGATGAAGGTCAAAATGATAAAGATATTATATTAACAAACGTCTCCATTATTGACTCAATATCAAATGAATTTAGCACATGGTCTCCTTCATCAGCTCCCTCTTATTTGACTTTACCTACTTATATATGCATGGGTGAAAAATATTGCATTACCCCCCGGGATTCTTCTGTAGAACCGCCGTTGTTTCCGTTTACATAATAACTACAAGTTTGCTTATGGCAAACTCCAACAGAGATACCAAAACAAACGTTTTCTGGCGACATTTTCTTTTAATCAAATTTATTTAGCTCCTTTCATTCAGAAGGCTTCTCCCATGGTCCTAAGAGATCGATTAATCACGTTCTCAGAAAATTTGTCGGTTTTCAGAGCCTTGAAGCTTCTTGTAAATTATTGAGAACATATTTGCTATTGAAATTTTATAGCAAAACTAAAACTGACTACGAGGCACAATTGATTTATCGACTTATCGAGAACTAATTACTGCTTTCTTTGAAAACCAGTGTCAAGCTTTGAGGTCAACACAGTTTATCACATCAACTCCAAACAATTTCATTCAGGGCCGGCTTATTCACCTTCTGATTAACTGTCAGGTATGCAATCCGTCGGATAAAAACGCAATCCGTCATCCCATTGGTCGGCCAGTTATCCGCTGACTCTCTCAAGTTTGCACCTATGGACCCAATTTTCAACTCAACTCTTGAGAATGGGTACACATTCGGAATCTACCTTGCAAATAGCAAACCTTAGATCACCGGAAAAATTAATTTTCTGTAAATATCTAGAGAACCTGATCAGCCTGTGGCCATGGAAATCATTTTTGGATTCATTCTTCAAGGTAAAACAGCCTGTCCTTCCTCTTTTCAAACTTCCACGGCCTTATTACTAAACTGTCATATTTCACTGGATGATACAAATCTATAAATACCAGTAGAGAAACTCGGGGAGATTCAGTCAATTCCCAAAGCCCCTCTTTAATCTCCAAAAAATTTGAAGTGCGCGGAAATCTACAAATCACATTGTGAACTCTCGGGGCCCGTAATCTCGTAACTAGGGAAGGGAACAGTGTTCTCAAGAAAACGATTCCTCTGTCTTCGTCGCCCATATTGTTATTTCCATAATGCTGACAAAGACAGAACAATCATTCTCTTGAATACGATGTTCCCCGGTTACGAGATTACGGTTCCTGGTAGATTCGTAGTTCCCTTGCTATTTGATTTGGATACCCTAAGCCTCACCTGGGAGACAGCAGCACATACCGTCGATTATTTGGGCTTGGAGAAAATAATCCTGAGATTCATCAAAAATATTTGAATTTCATGAGATTATTTATTTGGCCAGTGGTCACATGACTTCGGTTCCCAGATTATAAATCCTCTTTGGCATATTACCTGCCGCATGTTTGTGTTTGGGAAAACGGATCTTACAGGTCTCAAATTCTGTGTCGTCTATGAATCATCTCAGCGCGGATATATTGTCATTTCCTAAGCTTTAGAGGTATTTCCTCTGTCCTGCCTCTTGCACTGTTACGTGGCCGATTGTGACAAAACGTAAGTACAAGCATTCTCATCCTGCCCCAATTTTATTACTATTGAAGGATCCTCTGGAGGTTCTTTTCAACTAACTATTTTCTTTGCTTTGAGAATTCTTCCTAGCCACTGTCTTCTCCGGCAGTCGATCACCTCCCGTGTCAGCTTTGGAACTCTCCCAGGAACTAGCTAATCAAAAAAAATCTAGCTTTCCGGGAGCAGCTTAGGTTCCTGTAAGGCACAATTATTACGTAGAGGATTACCACAGTCAGCGTCCAGCGATTCTCTCAAATCTAAGCATTCTTTGTAGGCAGAAAAAAGGTCTGTTTTCAACTCACCAACTGGGCCATGCAGCAACTATCCGGCTTTTCTTGACGATTTTTCTGCGAAGTTCAAACTTCTTGCTACCTTGAGAAAGACGAGCCTGCTTGATCAAAATCCTAAGGAGTTGTATCTTCATATTTTGTACGTTTTTTTATAGTGTGATGTTCAATAACAAACTAAGAAACAATATAATACCGTATTTTATTCCTTCGTTCGTTCTGAAGTTAAACAGAAGTAGATGGACTTTTGTGCTACAATTTTGACAGCTATTCTAGTTATAAAAAAGAGACAGTAAGTACAAGGACAAGGGATACGAAACAAAGATATAAACTCGGATATAGACATAGTTTACTTACATGTGATGAGTACAAGCAGCGACCTGAAAGCAAGCTCAGCGAATACAGGATATTTCACATTGGGACCAAGAAATTCCTTGACGTTAGGCCAAATAATGTCCACAGCGATGTAAAATTGAAGGGCATACGTCAAAAGGATTCCACATGGAATAATTACTTTCACTGACTGCGCCAATCTGAAAAAAAATTGGAAAGTATTGTAAGATTTTAGAGGTAAAAGAGGCGTATTGTCGAGGTGAAAGTTACCTAATTTAAGAAAAGGTGAAAAAGGAACATTTTGTAAGATGATGATAGGTACCTAATTAATTTCAATAGAGAAGGAAAAATGTGTGAGTATCTATAGAAATAAGATTTTCATAGAAATAAGTTGATTTTCAATTTTTTTTAAATTTTTTTAAAATCATTTATTTATGCCTTGAAAGAGTATTCCCCAGATATTATTCCCTGAAACTCAATAATAACTTGGTGAAAAATGTTTAAAGTTTCGCGCGTATTAACAGCATTTCAAACGACTTTAAATGCGCGCGAATCTGGATGACGTCACGTAGTATGATTTTGCGTCACCTTGTCGCCAAACGTTATACTTCATATTGTATTTAATTAGGCAATTCAATCCATCTGTCAAAAAGGAAAATTCAATGTGGCGTGGCGGTCAAGCAAGTATGTTTTGAATATGTTTTTATGCGTATTTTAAATTATTTTGCATACAGTTTTGCTTACAACTTCGATTTTCATTATTTAATAAAATATTTGTTGACTAGGTACCTGAACTATTAATTCGAGCAGAAACTAGATATTTTTGTGTGTTTTTTGGCCCATGTGTGGCCGCCACGCCATCTTGAATGTCACGTGGTTTGAATTGCCTAATAGACCGATCTCCTATTACCTGGACTGCGCGCGTCGCTTGTAGGCTGCAGGTGAGCGTCCAATGAGAAGCAAGTTTGTGACAGGCTTGCGTCATATTCTAATTCAGGAGCCAGTTCAGAATCAATCGTTCCTTCTTTCTTTGTAACGTGTTATTTGACAAAGAGCAAACTAATACTTTACATATTACTTGAACTCACCGCAGTTTCGTTTAAGGTTATGTTAGATTATACTTGACATATTTCATTGAGCGATGTTGCCGGATGAAACATTTATCAAAATAAAAGTGCAAACGATAGTCATCCACTTTAAAGCTCTTCTTTTGTCTGATTTAAGGCATTGTAAAACCCTCGACACTATATGACTTCTTTAATGTCATACTGTTCGATTTGTATTGTTCTGCAACAATAGAATCTGGCTACACTGCAGCCTACGAGTTGCGCGCGCATGTCATCCTCTATTGCTTTCTAACTTGTATTTATTACAATTAAGCTCACTTTTTCTAATCATGTGAGACAGGTCTATTTGGTTGATTTCCGCATTTTCCACCGTAATATTTGTTTTGTTGTTGTTTTGTGTTGCGGCGAGCTGTAAATTTTGAAGTTACAATGGAAAAAAGGTTCGCACATACTTACTTTTGCTACTATAGTCGTATTCACGATAGAGTTTAAATTTTGACCGTTATTTTCACCAGTTAAAAGTAAATAAAATCCCTAGATCTGTCCCTTTTTCTGTCAACCATCAAATAATGATACATGACATTTCGATTTGACATATAAAATTATCAGATTCGGATCTTAGAATTTTGAATTTCGAATTTTTGCGCGAGATCGTTTTAGATTATTGCCGTTTTCTGCATTATTTTTTGATATTTTGTTATATTCTCAATCGGTTTTATGGTTTTTTATGTAGTGTTCTGTGCCTTTGTGTTTCGGTGTTGCGTTTCATTTCTAACCTGGTTTTAGTTCGGATTTAAGTGTTTTGTCTTTTTATAAGTGTTCACTTTGGACTCTATCAAGACTTATCTGGTTTATTTTATCTTCTTCAGGTAAGTTAAACCTAATACTTACACAATATTACGATTTTAAAAGTGCCGTTTTCTTATTAGCGATGACAGAAAAGTCCCCGGACAAGTCCGATCGTACCAGGGTCCTGGAGACTTTGCTCTGTTCCAGCATCTCAGATGATTTAGGTGTGAAGAAAATACGGTAAAATTGGCAACTTTAAATTACCACTGTCATAATTCATCGCCAATTATTTTCAGGGAACAGCAATAAACCTTGGAGATGCTTCTTCTTTACGAGACGAATCTTTTTTTTTTTAAGCAAGAGGGAAAGTGACAAGGTAGTGTTTTCAAATTTAGTAAAAATAAGCAAATAATCCTTTTGTAGAGACCAATAATTCATGGGAACCCTGTGGCTCAGCAATTTATACAACTCGTATACAACCATTTCAAGGTGTCTCATGAAGATCAAAATCCCATAACTGTAAGTTAATAACAATAAAGTTAGTCTTGATTGATCATAGAAACGTTTTCGTCTTAATCTCAGTAAATGTAGGTACTAGTTTTGGAAGGGGATATTTTCGAACCGAGTGGCTTTTGTTAATTTTTAATAAATAAATTGTAATTTACTGTTCCATTGCCTTTCTAGGAGACAGCTAAGGTTTTGAAACTAAGTGAGACCACTGTCTATAAATATAAGGATGGTTCAGTTGAGTCTGAAATTACCCCTGACACGCGGAAGCGTAAGAAGTTGCAGACAACTGATTCAAGTGGAAGCGTCAAACAGACTATTCGATTAGAGATATACAAAATGTATACAGAGAGTAAGTTGATGTTCTACTTTGAACATAGAGTTGTTTCAATGTTACTTCATATTAACTTTACCAGTAGATTATTCCAAAAGAATACACCTGATAACATTGGAACTTCTCAAATCAAATTAAACTGTTTTTCATAGTTTAATACTGTTTTTTATTTCAGGTCAACAGAAATTAAGATGATGCTAGGATTTCTTTCATTCCATAATTTCATGTTATTTTTTAGAATTGTTTTCTTGCTTTTCAATAAAGGTACCTGAGTTATTGGAGCAGGGCCGCAACTAGGGGGTGGCGAACTAGGCGCCCGCCTAGGGCGCCGGACCATTGGGGCGCCGAAGGCGCCTAATTTAATCCATCCATATTTTACAATCCAAAAAAATGTAACGGTTTTACGTATCATTTGTCGTAGCAGGGAAATTTATTTTGCTTGTGGTACATCTCTCTTTGCCAACCATCAACAATACGAATATCGATAGTAATCATATAAATTATGTCAAACACAGTGCGCGTGCATAAGGCAGCAGCAAATTGCAATGTCTGTGATAAATTCAAGTATTTATGACGTAGCGCTCAACATTCGTTAGCCAGAGATTAGCTTCGAGTCGAGCTTTGATCCGACCAAACTGAGCAAGAGAACTGTGGGTGACATGGGCGCCCTCTGTATGCTGCATGCATTACCTCTTTTAACTCTTTTCTATTTAGCGGTTTACGGAAACTATAATCGGGTTAACCCGATCAGCAGCTGAATGTTTTCTATCTTTCCTTAATGAATACAATAGGGTAGTGGACAAGGTATAATTTCAATGAAATCGATGATCTATTCTTCATCTATGCAGTAAATAAAAAATATTCGTATCAAAAGAAATTTCAGATAATAGTATATTACAATCCGAGACGGAAAATACTTCATTGCTGGTCGAGAGGTTATTATAGTTTATCGAGACGCGAAGCGTCGAGATAAACTCAACCTCGAGACAGAAATGAAGTTTTCCGTCGAGGTTTGTATACTTTTTTATTTTCAACCCTTAATTTTCTGATGCAAAAACTAAAGATTCTGTTATACGAAATTTTCATATAGTGTAAAACTGGCCTTAGAAAAAAATATTTCACTTTTTTTGTCAATGTCATCAATTTTGACGATCTCAAAGGCCCTGTAAAGGCCAAAACAAAAGACGAAACCACAGGAAACCGCAAAATCAACAACCATAGATAAGATCAACAACGCCTTAACGACGGTAGTTTTCGCTCAGTATTTTTGCGGAAATAATAGATTTTCACTAGATTTCTCCCCGTTCTCCCCAAAGAAATGATTTCGGAAAGTGAAGATGAAGCGATGGATTGTACCCCACCTGAATTAAAAGAAGCAGCAGACAGGATTGGAGAGAGTTTGCTTCCAGCAAAAAGCAAATTTCGGTACGAAAAGGCTTTTCAAATATTCGAAGCATGGTGTAGCCAGAAAGGAACGAGAAATACTGCCTCGGAGACCGTTTTGTTGGCGTATTTTGGCGAATTATCTAAGGAAAAGAAGCCTTCGACTTTATGGTCGACTTACAGTATGTTGAAAACCATGATTAAATTGAAAGAGAAAGTTGATATCTCCAATTACGCAAAACTTATAGCTTTTTTGAAGCGGCAAAATCTGGGCTTTCAGCCGAAAAAGTCGAGCGTTTTTTCCAGAGAAAACATTAACGAGTTCCTCACGAAGGCAGCTGAAGAATTCATTAGCATCAAGGTAGGTTTTCAAAAAATATACAAAGAAGATAAAAATGCGAAAATCAAAATGATTTTCTGTATGCTATAGCTAGGTTACCCATTTTATTTTTATCTGGTTTCAGGTAGCGCTAATTGTTGGTGTGTCGGGTGCATGTAGGAGCGATGAACTAGTCAAGATGAAAATGGAGCACGTCAACGTTTTGGAAGGAAAGATCGCTATAGAAATTCCACACACAAAAACTTACACAAGTCGATCGTTTATCATAAGCGATCCAGATTGGGTTGCTATTTTCCACAAATACCTCACTTTGCGGAAAAATTTGAAAAATGACAGGTTATTTGTTCAATGGCGAAATGGGAAATTACATAACCAAGCAATTGGCTATCATTCAATCTCAAAATTTCCACATAAAATAGCTGCTTTTTTGAAGCTTCCAAAAATTGAAACTTTTACAGGGCATGCTTTTCGTCGTACTTCCGCAACCTTATTGGTTGACAACGGGGCCGATCTATTGCAACTCAAAAGACTGGGAGGGTGGAAATCGAGCACGGTTGCTGAAGGCTACATAGAGGCATCTTTGGAGAACAAAAGTAAGACTGCTCTGATGCTATCCTCTACTTCCAAAGGTATTCAGTTGTCCAGTGCATCCACAAGTACATCACATGCGGAAACTCATCCGCAAGCGCAAGAGATAATAGTTCCAAACGAAACACAATTCCAACAGGATGGTCTCAAGATTTCCATTATAAACAACAATGCTAATTTAACAATTAATGT